ACCGATGTTCAAGTACTCGAACTGGCACTGGAAGATTTTGAGTAAATCGTGTTATTAATGCCCTGACGCTCTTTGAGGTTGAGGTGGATGTGCTGCTACTCACTAATGTAGGCACACCCGTTGACTTGCTTGAACATAAAGATGGTGATTGTGATGCTGATGTAGGCGTGCTTGGGGTAAAGAAATTTTAAAAGTTAAAAGGAAATTAAATTGCATTATTGAAGTCAACACATATTAATTATGGGGTTTTATCTGCAATGAGCTTATAAAACTGATTTCGAGCAGCATTTTTAACCTAAACTGACTGTAAGATCTATCTTGAGTCGCCCTTTAGTGGCAGTAGAAAGTATTTCGTTTGAGGGAAAACAATGACTTTTTTTTACGTCAAGAAAACACCGGTAAATTGCCCCTTTCAACTACCATTACAAAAGGATATGGATACATCCCACGCTAATCCTGATTCCTACGTATCGAGTTACGTTCATTGGCAGCAATCCGGCCAGAGAAAGAATTTTAGAAAACACCGTTGTCAAGAATTTTAAGGATTTTAAGCATCTTTCATGCTTTCCAAACTTCCAGAAACACACCTTGTGCTGATGAAGTAGATGCATTCGAACTTAAGCTTGTCCTCAGTAATCGAGATTTACGTTGAAACACTGAAAGAAATAGACAGTGGGAATATCTTAACACTAAGCCTCGTCCTGCTCAATACTGAACAGCCTTAAACATCCATCAAAAGAATTCCGGAGTTAAATGTAGAAAGAAAATGCTTCCCGAGCCTAAAATGGTAAAAGCTCCTGGCTTTTTTTTATACTCTATGGTGTACGCATTCTGAACCATTCCCCTTAAGGAGAAGGATTTCTCAACTAAAACTAGAACAACTGAAATTATATTAATTAAATTTTCGTAACGTTAGGAGGTGTGCAGACCTAGGGAGAAGTTGGCTTACAAATAAAGCCAATTAAGCCCAGATAAAGACAACAAAAAATTGCGCTGTGACGTTAGAAATCGTGAAAGATCGGTTTGGAAATTAATTCTAACAAGCTGGCTACTGCCAAAAAAATAGAGGAATTAAAAGACGGGTGAGAAGATGAATTAGGTATTTTATGAGGAAAAAAGTGCACCTCTTAGATTGATATATTATAGGCAAATCCAGTCTCGTGACCCAAGCTGGCCCAGTACACGAACCTTAACGCAATGAACCGAGATATGGGTTGTTATGCAATGGTAGCAAGCGTTTTTGTTGTAATCAATGCATGTGCCGACATCTCACCCTGACATCGAAGTTTCGCCTCGCCCATTGTGGTCCAACGTGACTGAGAAAATCAAACCAAGCAAGTCACGTACTGTATTCGGTTCTCTTAATACTCAATTTTATTGCAACCCTTAAACCAGAGTTACCTTAAATGCCATATATCTTAATTGGTACGCCTACTCTATGGAAGTAAATCAAGTTCATTTCATCCAAAACGTTTACTCCAAATTTTACTCAATGGCCTAAGCGCCACTAAACAAAGCTGAGAAACTTTCTCAATAGGTTCCCTGAGAACTTCTTTGAAAAGTATCATACCGACGACGATCGTTCTAGCCACTTCCCCTTCATTCGCTTTACAGCAGCTTGAAATCTTAATAGAGTTATAATTACTTTTTTCTATTTACTTTTCACGCTGGTAATCTTATGAACGTTATGTTTTCGGAATTTTATAGAACACATGTGACTCCTGCTGTGGGAGTAATCTATTTATGGATAAGGTCTCTGTCGGCTTGCGTCACGCTGCGAATTTCGCTTGCAGGTTGTTCCTGAAATAGCTGTCAGCTCAAGTGTCATGGGAAAAAAGTGGAGGAAAAAAACGCGTCTCTGATTGGGCAGAATTTATTTGGTTAGTCACGAAGAATGCCATAGTCAACTCCCGAAAGTTTTCACCCCGGTCGACGTAGAAGGTGGGGTCGTTGATGATTTCGAAACGTAACTACCGCTAATGATTTATCATGTGAACATCATAAATCGAGATCTCCGTTCAGCGAATGATAATCCACTCTCTAGTGTTACAAAGCTTAGGCCAAGACTTAAACTAAGGGATGTTGATGGGTCTCCCTCAGAACAAAGAAAAAATATGACTACTCACAGAGGAGAGTCGCGTTACATATCACCCACAAAAATGGTTCGACAGTATTTTGGCAGAATTGACCACTTGACGTAAAATGTAGTCTTAGAATCGCCAAAATATTAGGTATCTGTCTTCTCGATAAACATTTGCCATACTCTCAACGTGTGGCTTAATAATACCTCCCAACTAGTATCTGGGAGGCCTGGGTTCGAATCCTGTCGAAGCCCGATTTTTTTCAGGCTTCTTTCCTGAAATTGCTCAAATTGTAGCTCACTTGCAAGGATCCTGGCTTTATTTTTTTCACTCTTTAGTGTTGGCATTAAAGAGTATTTACCTCAAAGGATAAGGGTAGGTTTTTTTTAAGTAAAACTCAGAGCTATCAGAATTCTAAAATGCTATTTGCGTAATGTTTAGACTTGTGCAGAATTTTGCTCACAAATAAGGTCAACCCCAGACATAGCAACATAAACTATCATGTGAGGGTTGGGAAAATTAATTCTAGCAAGAAAGTTGGCTGCTGCCGGAAACATGGAGGAATTAAAAAAATGAGTTGGAAAGTTAATTAGGTGTTTCGCGAAAGGAAAAATGTTTCACCATCACACACGTAAACGAAAGGGAGTATAAGTTTAATATTTTATCAAACAACTTCGAAGGGTTCTTTGCATTCTCATCTTTTTCAGTCGATATTTATCTGTGTGGATTGTGGAGATGTCAGTCTAATAAAAAGTCTGAGGCGTATCTACATGCTCCGGCAAAAATATCGCACGAGTGTCCGCAAAAGGGGATTTAGAAGATAACAGTTCCTGCTACAATAATTTTCTTTCTTCTTTTCTAAATAATCTTTAACGACTAATTAAAGCGCTCTAAGCGTTTTGTGAATTACTAGAAAATGTTTGATCTGAAGTTAGATTGCCGGAACGAATTCTAGTGCGGGAATACACTCGCGTCTCAGTGTTAGTTAATTGTGCACGCTGCATGGTTACTGATTGTGCGCGACGACGATCTTCCATGAGACAATGACGACTTCGTGGGTAAGAGAACTTCAGAGCACTTTTGAGGTCATGAACCTGGTAACTTAATCGTACATATACCCGTGAAAGAGCGCCGTGAGTTTGAAAGAACACGGCACCAAAGAGATCCTAATAATTGTGATTTAGTAGTTTTCATCGGAGTTGTGCACGCTTTTGGGATCTTTAGGAATTTGTCGAAGGTGCTTTCGTTCCCAGAAGGCAAATTTCTCAGAACTTGCAATGCAAAGAGCACAGACGATTTCTGTTATCTTTAAATTCACCCAAATACTGAATAAAATTGCAATAAAGCGCATAACAAAGACCTATTGAAACAATTCAAGGAACTGTTCCACTGTATGCATGTAAATAAACTTGAAATCGCACATATCTTTGCAGGAAGTCATATCAGGACGTGTGGAATGTACGATGTTGGATTTTAGGGGCTTAACTGCAAAATACCAAATACAAATTATCATGCGTGGGCTTTTAAGAGGCCTTCTGGCAGCTCTCTGAATCAACAGACTTAACTCGATAACTCTACTGACACTACTTAGATATAATCTTTTAATTCAGTCTCGACTTTTTATCTTCAGAGAGTTCTGAGTGCAAAACAATTGAGACCAGTGTGTGTGGCAAGGTTCGAACAAGCTGCACGCGAGCGGAAGTCTGACGCTTCTTGATCAAAATAATCAATAATATCGCCGACAACACTGGTTTTTCCATCCTTGATTGCATAAAATTATTAGATGCGGTGATTTATTGTTCGGATAATTTAAGCAATAAATAGACTTTCCGATTAGACAGATACGAAGCCATTTTGGAAATAACCAAGCTCAAATCATCGGTCGCGAGCTTTCGAACAAGCTCGCTTTGTTGAGAAAACATCGCTCCTGCAGAGATGCGAGACTTACGAGCAGATAAGATTTATCAACTGCTGTTTCTAGGATCCTATGAAAACAATTTTTCCGAAGCGTAAACATTTGTGGCTGGCTGTCAAGCCAAAACTTGACACTGCACTTGGCATCGTTGCCAAATTGTAAATATTGCACAAGAAAATGGCGAGGTTATCTCGCAATACTCCCAGATATAACCCGCTTATCAGATGCAGCCGTGGCTAATCACATGGCTAAAGCGTGCCGGTAGCTTTACTAAAAGTAACCTTTCACCGCCAGGCTTATATTTGCTTTACTAAACAATCCCTCGACCAATCATTTCAATCCAACCAACATTACAATGCAACCATTAATAATCTCATTGTGCTCAATACAAATGTTCTTAGGATAAAAAAGTTTAACTAGTCAAAATCGGTACCCCATCAACGTAATTCTGAAAGCTTACTTCGGTGCACCACACAATCACCCTGGGGCAACGATCAATTTTCCCAGCAAGATCGAAGAAAAAATAGCATCTATTGTGGAAAGTGATATACGGAAATAGATTTTCGTTAAATAAAGAACTGAAGGTCAACAATGACTCTTTGTCAAAAGGTCACCTTCCAATTTTGGAGTAGCATAATGAGCTTTCTGGAGCTAACCGTTCCGAATACTACACGCAAGTTAACGATCCGATTAACACCTTTTTCGCTAAGTTAAATTCAATTAACGTCATCTTAAGTTGCTGCATCAGAGATACACAGGAAAATTTTGCTGGGAAGAGAGTTTTCTGTACGATTTAAACAACACAGCAGCCACGTGAACATATTAAAACATTCTCTGAAACACTGAGAGCACTCGATCAAAACGCGACTAATGAATTATTGTCTTAATTAACACGACTAGAATGGCGTGATGATCGCCGATAAATAGATAAGGTTCAATGGGGTGTAAACAATTTGTTCGCATATTTATACATCATTCTTTCCCTCTCAAGACCATTTGAACCTTGATCGCATCTGTGCGCAGAGCGGAGAAGAGAAGACCAGCTCTTGCAGAACTCGAGACCACTATGAGTTTTTCGTTTGATGATTTCCTTTCAGCTGGGCAGATTTTGCTCTTATGTTGTGTAGTCTGCGTTTTCCTGACAGGAAAAGCAATATGGCAAAATTCTTTTTCCAAGTTGCCCCCAGGTCCTTGGGGCATGCCAGTTATAGGTGAGTTTAACATTCCTAAGTCAAAAAAATTTATTTGGCTAGGTTCTTTAACTGTTCATCTTCATCGCTAAACTATGACTCTCTAGCCTTGACACTCGTTTTTAACAGCTGCCAAATTGTTTTGACGTCGGAAGTCAAATAAAGTAAAATTTTCAGTAACTAAGGTTAACTTTTAAGAGAGCCTGCACGTGTTTATCTTGAAAAATAATTATGCAACTTTGTCGATTTAACTCTTTGCAAGATCTTCAGGAGTTATGTAACGCCTCTTTCTTTGCCTCTCAGTACCGGTACAGTACGCTAGTGCGTGAGCACTTTCTTCTGTTTAATAAGACTATGTAGCTAAGACTTTCTATGAAATCGCCTTTATTCAGCAAATCAGATTTTGGTGACTGCGGACAATAAAAGAAATGCAAAGAATGGAAATTCTTCGGAGTTACATTTTCTTTGCTGCGAAGGAGCAATAACTATTTCTCCGTGAGAAAGACTCTTTGTTCTAAGAGTCAACCAAGAAACTGCATTAATGAATAGGTAATTACAGAGAGTGCCCCTTGCATGACAAGAGCGTCCGAACATCGTGAATATTGCGTGTTCGTGGCCGATAGTGACGGAACTTTGTTTATTTTAAGTGTTTTTTTTTCAAATAAAAGCACAAATTACGCCTGAAGATTCCAACGCGACTCAGGCTAGCACAGAAGACCGTATACTTCTCCGGTCAACTAAATCTTTGTTCACTAATCTACAGAAACCTTTGCGAACAAAACCAAACAATTAAAACCTGATTTGAAATAAAGTCACTTTGGTAAAAATACTCATGATAACGCCCTTTGCGGAAAATGTCGGGCCATTAAAAGTTCTTTCAATTTGGTCTTTCGAAATATAGTTTGCTTATTCGCGAAACTCAAGAAAGTAAAGGGTATTACAATAGAGCTTATTGGCGTAACGGATGAAGGAAAAGAAAAAAGAACTTGTGGCTGTCATTGAGCCTTTCGAAAATCATCAACTTCAAGTAGAAAAACCAATTTTAAAACCGTTTTTTAGCAACCAGAGAATTTTTACATTGTCTGATCTTTCTGTAGCTCTGTGTAAACAAATTTGGACTTTGACACTGAAGCACACCCTGGGATTAGCAAAGGCAAAAGTCACTGTTTAGTACTTGGAACAAATTACGTTAACGCTATTCATTCTTATAAAAAAAAAAACATTTTGACACTAAATTATCCGGTTAAGGCGTGATTCAACTTGGAAAACAACAAAAAAATTCAGTTAACCAAAGCGAGATTTTCGGTCGATGGAGATTTTGCCGTCACTGTAACACGGGCAAACATCATCCAGGCCACGTGCTAGGCACAACCCAGAGAACAAATGCGGACGTGAGCTATTCTCTAAATGAGCAGTACCTATTATTTGAAAATCTCGCCTGTTTCAAAAGAAAATTACAGCACACTATTTCTTATGCATAGCCTCATTACTGAGAGATTGTATCGTGCTATTAGCCTACGTCTGAGTCAGCTCCTTTGAAACGTTTCCGTAAGACATTCATCCCGTCACTTAGTGTCAATAAGGGTAGACAGATGAGTCATTCCGTATTCATACGTAAGCGGCTGAGACGTGCTCGAACTTTTATCTTTTCAAAGACAGTATTTTAAACAATGGTTGACAGGAGTGTTTCATGACTAAAGCCTAGAGATTATTGATATGGCTTAGTAATATTACGTTGATTTGTCTTTACAAATGAGTAAACTAGGATACAAAGACCAAAAGATAATCGGTAGATTAAAGGTCTCGAAGTCCAACTACCCTAATGAAGCTTTCACGGTCATTTCAGTTCCTTTCTTATATCTGCCCTTGTAAGTTGATGCAACGAAGTTAGGTCATAGTTACTTTTCAAATATTGACATGCAGCTCCTCAGTCTACGATGGAACTGAATAAAATTATTTTGACAGTATTCTAGAGACGTAATTCTCATAAAATAACTTGAAAAAAATCTCTTAAGACTGATCACCACTTGGATTTTACCACTCCACATGATATTAGTGACAGTTTAACCTGTTTAACCACCATCAAACAGTAAAATGTTGATCGACGATATGTTATGTTAGTTTTGCTTGGTTCAACAAAGATGCATGTAACTTCTCAGAAGCAGACCTGACGTTTCTAAAATTTCAAAAAATTGTATTCCTTATTGAAAGTTTTCTTTCTTTTGACCCAGTTTTAATGCATTGTTTGTGATGACATTTTTGGTCAGACCTAGAAGAATGCATAACGAACTCTTTTGGAATAGTTTTCGACTTAGAATTGGGTTATCGACAAGATGGTTCATTTCATAGATACGGCTGTTAATCTTCATCAAAATGTCCACCGAAATAACATAAAATTATATTTTACTTAGCTCAGAAAGCCTGTAATAACAACTAAATGAAAGGAGTTCAAAAATGTAATCTGGTTTGAAGTCAGATTTTAAAGTCTGCTCTTTTAATGAATTGTTAATTTTTTCCGAATGTTACAATAGGTGCTTGTTTCCGTTTGGGAAAAAATCCCCATATTGAGTTCACCAAGATGGCGCAGCAATAC